GAAACGGGGAAGATCTTCAAGAAGGAGAAAGACATGAAGAAAGGTATGCCTATTGTTTCAGTTCATCAGTCATCATCAATGTCTCTGTCAGCACTCCTCATTCACCCTCTTTCTCTCTCTCGCAGGAAGTGCTTTTCCTACTTGTGTGTCGGTTAACAACACCGTATGCCATCACTCCCCTCTGAAGAGTGACCCTGATGTCATACTGAAGGACGGAGACGTTGTCAAAATGTAAGCTACAAAATGTTTCCCTTATCCATCCTGTGAACTAGATACACGATAGATTATATTTGGTTTGCAGATACTTTCTCTGGCTCATGTTTTCCTGTTCTGTTTGTACACAGTGATCTGGGTGTGCACGTTGATGGCTTCATCTCAAATGTGGCTCACAGCTTCGTTGTTGGAGTGACCAAGGTTTGTCGCCAGTGTTGAATTATAGGACACCATTAATGGCTAGTAAAACTTTGCTACGTAACCTCTTATGTCTAACTAATAAACGTTCCTTTTGTGTCGCTTCAGGAAACCCCACTGACTGGACGCAAGGCTGACGTTCTGATCGCGGCGCACCTGTGTGCTGAGGCTGCTATTCGTCTTGTCAAGCCAGGAAACAAGGTAAAACTCACCCGCCATGACCACTGACAAAAGCAACACCATGACTTTTTTTTTTATTCATCTAATAAATATTATTTCCTCTCTTCCATCAGAACTCCCAGGTCACAGACGCCTGGAACAAGATTGCGAAGTCATTTAAGTGCTCCCCTATTGAAGGTGGGTGTTTATGAACATTTGGCACCTTCAACCCTTGTGATTCCAATGGTATACATTTCCGAATGTAATTTGACCAGCTCGACTCAGCATATTCCTTCAATGTGTGCAGGGATGCTGTCCCATCAGCTCAAACAACATGTGATCGATGGGGAGAAAACAATCATCCAAAACCCAACAGACCAGCAAAAGTGAGTTCACTCAACCACTACTTCCTGTCTAACCTAACATTGAACCGGATGGGTGTTTTTAACAGTTGATGATTTTGTCCCTTTGTTTTTGTAGAAAGGACCATGAGAAGGCTGAGTTTGAAGTGCATGAGGTATATGCAGTGGATGTGCTCATCAGCACTGGAGAGGGAAAGGTGAGAGGAAACTTGGTGTGATGTGATTTGTTTCTCTTCATTTTTACAATTTCTTAAAAGCATATCTAATATAATGTTTTGCAACATAGGCAAGGGATGGAGGTCAGAGGACCACCGTCTACAAACGAGACCCCAACAAGGTGTACGGCTTAAAGATGAAGACATCTCGAACATTCTTCAGTGAGATGGAGAGGCGCTTCGATACAATGCCGTTCACTCTGAGGTAGCTTCTTAAAACTAAACATCAATTATTTCACTTGAATTTTTCTTTTAAAAAACAGAAGTTTCACCCACTCATTATTTTCTTTGTTTGCATCACCAGAGCTTTTGAGGATGAAGGCAAGGCCAGGTTGGGTGTGGTGGAGTGTGCCAAACATGAGCTTCTGCAGCCTTTCAACGTGCTGCATGAGAAAGAAGGTGAGGGGAACAAGAAGGGCTGTAATTAAGGGCTTAGTTGAAGAACAATCGTATACGTTTGTTTATATGGGAACAAAATGAAGTGAAGTCTGAACGTTTCTTCGGAAATCTTTGGAAGATATTCTTATACTTAAATCTGTCGGCCATTGTGATTTATTATTTGCTTAACCTTCTGGCTTTGAGCAACTAGTGGTCCATACACAGAATTCGATCCTCTGATATATGGCCTCCAAATAAATAGAAAATGGCATCCTGTTTAGGGAAACATCAGTTCATATTAAGACTTCCATTTAGGACATTTTTTGTTGATAAATAGAATTGCCCATCAAATGGTGAAAGCGTCCAAAAGAATTTCTCTCAGCCCAAGGTGACTTCTTCAATCGTCAGACATATTGTCCAAAAGAAAATATATTCAATTTGTTATCATGTAGACAAAGCATTTTCTGTCCCATGGAAAATAAAGTATAGGGGTGTCCTCAAACTGTCAGACTGTATTATATTGTATTTCTATGTCATTGGTACCTGTAGCAGCACAACTACATGACATTGAAAGAGTTTGCTTCATTATTGTCATTCTGCAAAAGAATGAAGTCATTTGCAGTTTTTAAATGAAAGAATTTGAATTTAAGAGAAGCATATTCATACATCCTTCTGATTGGCAGTGTTGATAAGACTCTACCTGTCTCTTCTGATATGCAGTTAGAAGAAAAGTCATAATAAATAAGATTTCATTTTATTCTAACAGCACTAGTGTATTCTTTTAATATTTGTTGTTCAAAATGTAGCATTATCAGGGAAGAACAGGGTGTTTTCCTCGTGTCATGTCAATGGAAAATGGGTTTGGGATGCAGAAGACTTCTCCGCAGTGACCGTAGTCTCGAGCCTGACAGTACCTGTAGGATGAAGGCATTGACTGTAGAGTCTGTTCTAGAGATATCTGTACAATTGTGTCCATGTCTTATTTTGCCCTGTGAACTGTAACATTTTGATTTCTAAACTTGAGTCAGACCGTTTAATGCAACTTTCAATCCCTTCTTTGTCCAGGTGAATTTGTTGCCCAGTTCAAGTTCACCGTGCTGCTCATGGCCAATGGACCTCTGCGAATCACAAACAGCCTCTTTGACCCAGACCTCTACAAGTCTGAGCATGAGGTTCAGGACGAAGAGCTGAAGGTAAAATGTGCTACATCTCAAAGCCATCATGTGTTGATGTTTTGTTTGAGGATATGAGAGTCATTGTTGTTTTGTTTTTTTCATTTTAAGACTTTGCTTCAAAGCTCAGCCAGCCGCAAGACTCAGAAGAAGAAGAAAAAGAAGGTGAGTTACAGGGCAGCATCAAAAAATACTTGCTCCAAATGTTTTCCTTTTTATTAAATTTCAATCATTGTTAATATCTGTATCTTTTTCTTCTTCTTTTTTTTTAAAGGCTACAAAGACTGTTGAGACTGCAACCGGACAGGCAATGGAGACCGAAGCTGCAGAATAAATGTGTCTAGCAGACATGTGATGACCCAAAGAACAGACGTCATGAATCATTCTGTCCCAGCTGTCTGAGGCACTTGCGGGCATAGCCGCTGTGAATACCTCTGAATCTAACTGATGTCAGTCTGGGATGATGCTGCTCCTAAATTCTGTCACTCCACCTATAACACACACACACACACACACACACACACACACACACACACACACACTTGTACATCCCTAGTAAATCTCATTGTCCTTGAGACAGCCTCTCCTCTTAACAGTGGATAATTCTGCTACAAAAGAGGATGTTTTGTGAAAGGACATAATAGTCACTGGAACATTTTAACAATTCGACTCTCCTTGAGCCTTCGTCCCTTTCTCCACATAACTGTAGTGAAAGATGGAAAATAAAATGAGTTTGACAGAGCGGCCAAGGATGATGAATGCACAATTCTGTGTCAGTGTATTTTGTGTGGCATTTGGATAAATTCCTTGAGGTCCTAAAACTGAAGACATGCCTTTTTGAAATGAGTGTTAACTTGTTGTGGGCAGAAATGTGTAACACCTGTCTTGAACCATGAAGTTTTAAGCATGACATCATTATTGATTGACATTAGTCACATTAATTACCGCATTTATATTGCTCTTGCTTAGTCCGTCTACTCTAGTACATTGTGTACTCTACTAGGAATAAACTGTAGGTTACTCTGCTAACAATTTCTCAAACTGACAACTGAAGACCTTGTAGTTGAGCAATTTAACAAGAAAATATTTCTCAGTTGTGGATGGTCTAACTCCTGCCAAGGGTTCAGCATTCCGTTTTCTGGTGCCACCATCGAGTCTGTGTTTACATAGGAACTCCATACCTGATGATATATGGATGATTTTGTAAAACAAATCCTAGTTTCAGAGACTATTTTTGGAGACATTAAAAAGCCACCTGACATCATTTGTGTAGTTGTGTCTTTGGACTGCGTGTATTCACCTTATGCTGATGAAAAATGTGTTTTTTATGATTTTGAATACTAATGATCAACCCTCAAATAATATGAATCCTATTTCATTGCATAAATCAGTCATAAACCATAAGATTGGTACAGAGTAAAAAGGGTTATGAAATAAATAAGGAATCATCTATTATGAACACGTTATTGGGGAATATGACCATATATACGGCATAATTAGGTATTCTTAGATCATTTTGTGATTATAAATCCTAAACTTTAAAATCTGAATCAGGAACTTGATAGAAAACAGCAGTTTAACAACCAGCATTAACTTGTGTACTACAAACACACTGTTGGTATGAGAAAAGTCTGTAGAATGTATTTTAAGACTTACTGAGGTTATGATGAAACTAAAGCTATATTCATATTGTTTTTTTGATTCAAAACTTAATTTACTTTTTGTAAATGTTCTGTTAAATCCTTCACCACTGGCAGGAAAAATATTTAGGGTGGAACAAATTCAGAAGCATCAGTATTTAGTTTCTTGTTGGTCTGTAGGAGCATACTATGCCTAAAAATACAGAAACGTGTATAAAAAGACATTCAAACACACACACAACACAGTTTAAATGTAAAAAATACGACATGACTGTTATAAATGCTAGCTAGGGCCCTAAAGACAATATATTTGAATCAATATAGTATTACTAATCACCATTAAAAAATCTATTAATATAAAATACGTCCTAGTTTATTTTTATTTTTAATAATGTATTATTTTACATAGTGCACAGTACAAAGTTATGAAGAAATAACATATAAACTGGGTCGATCAGGTCAATATACATCCAAATCACATAAAAGGCTACAGCTATGGCTTGACGCAGAGCTGTATAATAGAATTATAATATAACTTTATATTATATTTTATTATAACTATCTATATGGCGCTGGCTTCACGTACCTAGTATTTTCCTTTCCAGAAAACTACATTTCCCATATTTTCCCGCGGTCACATTAAGATGACGTATGAAAACCACTATAAAAAGGACGTCGCCATGTTTTGACGGTCTTCCTGCAGACGGTTCCCTAGCGTTCGGTAAGTGAGACCTTAGCTGCTGATCACAATCCATGTGAATCATGGTGTTTTTGAATCAATCCAACTAATCCTTCACATGTTTCCTTCTCTTTTCAGTCTTCTCATCTCGGCATGAGAGCTAAGGTTTGTACTTCATGTCTGTATGATTAAATAATCATTGTTCCTGGTGATGCTAACATTAGCGAGCTAGCCAGTTTGAGCATGTCGACGGCCCAGCACGGCGTTCTCACATGCGTTTAGTTGTAACAATTGTATTATGCCATTTGTATGTGTAGTTGAACAGCCGTTACAAACATGTGCTTGTCTTTTAAGAAAATGCACATAATTTAACCAAGTCATTTAACGTCGTCTTTCTTTCTTTTTTTACAGTGGAGGAAGAAGCGCATGCGCAGGTAAGACTTAATGGCGCATGTTTTTTAATGCAATGGTATCTGAATCAAAATACCTTTGTTCGTCCCACAGAGGCGACATTTATATTGCAGCAACTAAAGAGCTAAAGATCGCTTAACATTAATTAACAAGTATGCAAAAAGTTAGAGTAAAAATAAGACAATTTGCAAAATACACATCAAGTATACCAAATACAAGTTACAATATGTTGAAAGATTTTAGTCTCATTGCCTCTTGTAAACCTTTTTCAGACTGAAGCGTAAAAGGAGGAAGATGAGGCAGAGGTCCAAGTAGGCTGTTTTCTCCGCCATGGCTGTGGCAGCACATGTGGTGAAACAAGCAGCCCGGTGAGCAGCAGCTGAAGACCCAGGCCAGGACCCTCCCGGTGTGAAGTCTGTCAGTTGGGCTCATCCTAACAACAGGAGCCCATCCCAACACGAGGCCGAGGAGCTGCAGCAGCTGACACATGCTGGAGCGCTGATTGAAGACTTGCTGGATAACAGGCTTTTCCTCGGGGACATTCTGGACTCATTGTTCTTAATTCCTCAACTTTTGTTTATACTGTGATTAAAGGTTTTGGTTTCTAAATAACTAGCAGATCTTGGTTTTTACTAGCTGTTTGTTTTCAAGGGAGGTGCCTTTCCCAGGTGTTCCTATAATCTATAGTAGTACTTTGATATTTGCTTAAAAGTAGACTCACTACAGTGTAAATATTGAGAAGTACTGTTTAAAATCTTAAAGGATCAAAATGTGCTCAAATTAACTAATTTAATAATTGTCCCAGTGGGTTAAGTATGGATTTATTGTGTCCATCACTTTAGTGGTGCAGAGGTAACTCAAGTTAATAACTTTATAAACATATGGGTTGTTTAATCTCTGATGCGGTATATGTGTTGGATAACTATTCCAAATGCTTAGATGTGTAGAGTTCAGACACGGCAGTGCCTGTCCATGTGATGGTTAAAAGTGTTTTGAAATCACAAAGAAAAAGTCATATTGGCAACAAGTGACCAACTGCTTCAATGAAACGGTTAAAGTTGTCAAAACATCCTTGGGTAAACAAAATGGTCTTGTATTAGTAATGGATCCTCTTATGAGTGGTGCATCATTTCAACCACAAAATATAGTTCTAGGCAGTTGAATATGCAAAAATGGTATCTGATGGAAAGCTGTGGGTGAATTTCTTAAAAGCATTTCAGATTCTACCCACATCTTATTCCTCGAGTGGGTGTGCGAATGCTTTAACCTTTTTATGAGGCTCAGTCAAAGGAAAAACTACTCCAATATTGTATTTAACTTTGAAGGCAGTCCAATCATTCATCCTGTCCTGAGCCAAGGTGAAACGAATCAGGCTGTTACTGGAATAACCTTAAAAAAACGGATTGAATTTCTTTTCTTTTACTAACTGATTCTCTTTTACATGAACTGTGAAGAGAATTCTGATTTCTTTAGTACACTAATATGTACTACATCATGTTTGATGGAGACATGCTTCCCCTATTAATGCAGAAGTAAGTACTGCATTTTCTATAACGGAAAACACAGTTTCAAAACAGGACATGACTTGTCCTTTCAGGTATAAATGACTGATGCACAATATCATCTGTAGCTGTAATTAGATTTACGACCCTTGTGTTTTCTCATTTGCTAAGGTGGTGTTAATGAAAGTGTGTGCTGGCCAAGCTCCAAGAGATCCTGTCTCTTAGCAGTGACCTAAAAAGTGGAGCATATAGGATTATAACACAAAGAGCACAGACTCAACACTGCTTACATCTTCTCGATCACTCAAGGCAGAATGTAATTTAAGTTAGTGATTTTTACAGGCCTGTTCAACAGATGACAAACCTGTTGTCTTGAGGCAGCATGGCCAAGTAAACACTTAACATTAATTATTAAATATAGCTTCTTATAGCCTTACTTTCTATGTGTACTTCAATGGTATCCAAATATCCTCACTTCAGATAGCCTCAGCTGAGTTTGCAACTGCAGCTTCTGAAAACACTCAGTTGTTGTTGACCAGTGAGTTTTCTCTTGTATGTGCCCAGAAATTAGCTGTAAGAGTAGGCCTATATCCTCTTTAAATATGCTGTCTTGCAGTTTCACTATATAGCTCTTACTTCACTCAACACATTGGTAAATACAGGATGCTTGTTACATGAGGGAAAGGTTTTAGCCTATAAATAAGCATGAAAGTATTGATAACTGGAATGCTAGCTATTTCATGAAAAGTAGTAACTAATTGTTGTACATTCATACAATGTACTGAGTCCCTATTGATTCATAGGGATATAAATTATTTTGTCTATCAAATTAACAGTTTTTTCTTGCTGCCCTTAATACATTTGCAACGTTGTCCATGTAAATCATGTCCATGTAAAGACTTATTGGAAAATACGAATCAGACCTGTTCTTGAACTTTGCCCTGTGTTTCATTTTTGTATATGTATTATTTCAACATCACAGAAAAACACATCATGCTGTGACTGCTACTGCTGCTTGTAGAGAACAAAACAGCTGTTTTCATTAGAACTGTTTCATTATTGAGATGCAATGATAATGGTTGTTCCTTGTTGTAGCCTAACACGTGAAATGTGTGTTATAGTTGTCTTCTGTGCGCTTTGGGGCGTTTTTGTGATTGCTACAGATTTCTATCAAACAGTCCAGTGAGTCATGATGATACTGCAGAAAATAGAAACTAAACTAATAATGTGAAAGCATAAGAACATATTCTCAAACAATTGGCATTTTACAGATAGATCACTTCTGTGACGCGTGCACTACGCTCTGCATCAGCCAAACGACTCGCTGCACCCTCGCTGCGAGGGGGACCCAAGTTCCCATCAGCAAAAACACGTGGGTTTGCTATCCTGGCTCCAAAATGGTGGAATGAGCTCCCCATTGACATCAGGACAGCAGAAAGCCTGCACATCTACCGGCGCAGACTGAAAACTCATCTCTTTCGACTCCACCTCGAGCGATAGAATTACTAACAAATAACTGCTAACAAAGCACTTATATACTAATAAAGGACTGGCTTATTTAAAGCCAGTTGAGTAGCACTTGAAATGTTTGGCTCTATGAAACCTGATGTACTTATATGATTCTGTTTTCTTCAAGGTTGTGTCTTCCTGGTCGAATGTACTTATTGTAAGTCGCTTTGGATAAAAGCGTCAGCTAAATGCAATGTAATGTAATCACTGACCAGTTTACTGCCAACATACATATTGTATAAATTGTAGTTGTAAACAACGCTCCTGTCCGATTTGGAAGTTTAAAAAGACTAAGGGGGCCAGATAGCCAATATGTTTTATGAACACAGTCAGCTGCCAAGCAGAGACAAAACACAGTCATACCAGTTTGGAGGTTTACTATATCAACAACACAAACATGTGACAGACAAGGCATTACAATGTGGTCAAAATGTAGCACCAAGCTGTTACTACCTCTTTACAACAACAATATTTAGATTTATCTGCACAATCATTCAGAGTCTTTACAGCCTATACATTTGTTGCATTACACAATCTTAGAAATATATAATCCTATCACTGAATATCCTATTAAACCATCAAATCAAGACATTTTCATTATGTGTAAGCCTACTGTTTCAATGGTTGCCTTTAGGCCCTTACTGGTTGTTGGTGTTTAACTGACTGCTTGGCTCTGTCCTCATGTGTCTATTTAGATAACGTTTTAGGCCTCTGTGCAAATAAGCCTTCTGTAATGCATTGTATCTATAGGCAACCAGGGGGTCTGCTGTTTCAGTCGCTTAGCTTAATGAAGCTATGAATGAAAAACAAGGAAAACCACCTCCCGAAATGCACCTGAATGACAAATCCTAAACTGGGCTACTGTAGACCGACTTGTAATGTACTGCGTAAACATTGCGTAGTGACCTTTTGCGCAGATCACGACTCTGCCGCTTGGATTTTATTTTTAAGACGCTTATCACCACGGCAGCTGATGAATGAACATACATAAAGCAGGAAGCTTACACCTTTCTGTCAACAGACCTGTTGGCACTGTTACGCTCAGTTGTAAAGCTGCTGCAGAGGACATGAGCGCTTGCGCATGCGGCAGGGTTTGATCCGGTTGTGGACAAGATAACGGGTTGTGCAGCATGTGCATTGGCAGTGTATACATCCTTTTGGGCGGAGTGTTTATTTTTATTAACAGGATAATGATAAGTTAACAAAAATTCCCTTTGGTGTCTTGAGCTAAAATAAACAGTCATCCACTTTGCACATGAGTCGCAATACGCTCCGCCTGAGTGGGTGAATGACGCTCAGTTAATTCTAGGCTTTAGGTTTTTGCTGGATTTCTTGTGAAGGAGGGATTGAAGAAGAGCCCGCCCTCTCGGTTCCTGGTCTATGCTTTGCCCTGCTCTGTGAGAGAAGCGTTATACGTAAATGAAAGTCGGAATTGCCTGCTTCAGTGCCCTGCGGAACTGAGGGGGGGTGCAGCAGTGAACGCTCCGTGATCATGAATTCAACGATCAAAGCCCGCAGTTTATAGGTGATTTCTCGATGGTTTCTGTAGGAATACGCTGGTAATTCTTCAGTGCCACTTTGTCACAGACGCAGTGAAGCTGAAGGCCAGCTAGAGCCAGTGAATTCAAACGGATCGTGCGATGCCAACCGCGGAGGCAGAGTCTGGCATGAGCGGAGGCACTGCGATCGCAGCCCCGGCCTTACCCAACCAGCCCCCAGGTGAACGAGCTCTGAGTGTGCTGTGGTCGTTTGCAAAATGCCTCGGTGCTCTTCTACCAGTGTACCTGGCCGGATATTATGGCTTCAGCATCAGTGTAGTGCTGTTCGGGCTGATGATCTACATGGGATGGAAACACAGTCGACTGGAGAAAGTGATGAGGCTCAAGTCTGCCATGTACCTCCTGGACAACGAGATGAGTTTTACCACCGAGAAGGCTTTCAGAGCCAAAAGGGATTTGCCTCCCTGGGTAAGCACTGGCTCACCGCCTGCATGTTTGTTTCACCTGTCACATCTGCCTCCTCTTCCAGGCGGAACTTGAGCTGCAACTCAGTTTCTTTGCATCTCTGACTGTGATAGGCTCTTACATGCATATTACTCATTAGTTGGGGCTTGCTGTTTAATTGTAGGATCCAGACTTCATCAAGTAAAGATATTCACGCATAAAAAGAAAGAGCATTTTGCTCCATTATACACTCATAGTGCACACTGTCCTTTTTGTTCACAGTATCTTCCTACTATCCAAATCCAGCACCATATTAAGACTTTCCTAAAGTGCAGTGCCTGGAGAATTAACTGCACTCAGGAATGTATATTTAAATGTCAGATGAGGGAGTGGAAAGGTTTAGAGAATGAAACTAGGGGATCTTAGACTTAGTAGACAGTGAAACGCACGTCTATTCTAAAATTATGAAAAATATATTTATATCTAGCAGTAGGAGAGATTCTCTGTTTTGTTTCCCTTTCCTGTTTCACTAGCAGCCTTTGACCTTATTCGGCTCCAAACACGTGATGACTCATCAACATATTTCCCCAGGACCACCATATCTAGAGAGAGCACGAGGGAATAAACAGTGTGTGTGTGTGTGTGTGTGTGTGTGTGT